CGATTCTAGTAAGTCCTCTTTGAAAAAAAACGTCATCAGTACTTATAGGATAAAGAAATAAGAAGGATAAACAAAATAAAGGGATGTATTGTATTGAGATTTTAAAAAAATTATTTTTTTATTATAAAAATGTTTTGTTGATATTCAATCAAGATTTTTTTTAATATAAAAAGTCATGTAATATTCAATTAAAGGAACTATATTGGATTGAGATTTTATAAGATTTTTTTAGCACAAAAAATTCTTGTAAATTTTGAAAAGCTTTGTAAGAATTTAATAATTTTAAAAAAAAATTCAAAAAACTTTGTAAGAAATAATAACTTTTAAGATTTTTTAAAAGACTTTTTTAATCAAGATTTTTGTAATATGAATTTTAATGGATTTGTGTTTTAATAATTTATAAGATTTGAAACTATTTTATTAGATTTCAAAAGATAATATAGATTTTAAAAAATAATATAATTTCTTTACATTCAAAAATGACAAGGTTTAAATAAAGAATATAAAATTAATAATTTTTTCAATCTCTTAATAAACAATTTATGTTGGTTTCATGTTCTCTTAAATAACATTTCTCAATATACAACTAGGGATGTAAAAAAAAAATTGTACCCATAGTATCTACGAATAAAATTCGCAAGAGGTAGAAAATTTATAAAATTTTAATTCTTAATATGCTTTCAAGATTGTGTTGAACATGATTTTATTAACTTTTATAATCTTATTTGGATTTGTATAAATTTAATTTTATTTGAACTTATAATAGTTAAGTATTATATTTTATCATCTTTTATTTTGATTTATATATAATCAAAATATTTTATTTTAATAATTATTATTTAAACTTTAAACTTATGTGATTGAACGTTTAAAATTCATTTTTTAAATCCGCCTTTTGTTATTAGTATAATTATAAAGAATATTTAAATTTTAATTTTGTAATCTTCAAACTTTTTTATGCAGATTTTATTTGAATTTTAGTTATAATCTTCAAGCTTTTATGCAAATTTTATTTTGCATATTCTTATAAATTTTAAATAAAAAAATACAAATAACTAAATTGAATAGCTAAAATATTTTGTTAAATATTTTTAAGATATATATATTTTTTGACAAATATAAAAATGAGTACGAGATAAATATTTATAAAGAGGGCAGCGAGAGACTACTGCCCATACTTGTCTTATTGACATCCTTATATAAGTCTTCTATGCATTTATATTTTATCATTCATACTATTAAATTTGAATATATTCAAATTTATGATATTCAAAATATATTTTTAATATATGTTTGAAAATATAATATTTTAATATTAAAATTTATTAAAAAAGAAGTATTATTTTAATAATTTAATTTTTTAAAAATATATAATATTTAATAAAGTAAAAATAATTTTAAATATTTAATAAATAAATATTAATAAATGATACATCAATTTTAATATATGAAAATATAAAAAAAAATATTGATAGATAAAAAAAAAGATTGACAAAAAAATAGAGAGGAGAAGTAGAAGAAGAAATAAATAAAAGATAAAAAAAGAGAGAAAAATAATGAGTTAGAGAAGACATTTTATAAGAGAAAGAAAGGGAGGAGAAAGAGAAAGGAAAAAAGAAGATGAAACACACATAACAGAAAGAGAGAAAAAAGAAAAATGAGGGAGGGAAAAAGAGACAAAAACTAAAAAGGTGAGGAAGAAAAAAAAGAAGAAATAAACGAGTAAATAAAATCATATTAAATCTCAATGGTTTTAGTAAGATTATTGGATGATTGAATTATATGTAAATTTAATTAAAAAGTTTCACAAAACCCATCTATTGAAATACTCCATTGAAATCTGGAAATTTTTAAATATCCTAATAGAATACTACTAGATTTTGACATACTCTTAAAAAAATTCTAATTATCCTAAAAATATGGCTAAATCTAATAGTATTTAATTAAGATAAACATGATTTTTTTAAAAATACGTTTAAATATAATGGTATTCAATTAAAAAAATAACTTAAAAAAGTCTATTAATATTAAAAAACATAAAGATTTAAATGAATTATTTTAATTGATGAATTTCGTAAGACTTTTTGGTAGGATTTGAATATAATTCACTCATTCAACAATCTCATGGAGACCATTAAAATTTTACATAATTTTTTTCCATATATTTTTCCTTTCTTTTTCTTTTTCACATATTTTGTTTTTCTCTCTTTTTCTTTTCTCGCTCTCTTTCTTTATCTCTCTCTCATATATTTCTTTCTTCTCTCTCTTCCCTAACTCATATTTATTTATTTTGTCTGTCTCTTGTTATATATTTCCTATCTCATATTCTCACTCTCTTTCTCTTGTTATTCATCTTTATCATTTGTTTCTTCTTCTACTTTTCCTTTTCTCTATTTTTCTCCTATTTTTTTTGTATCTATCAATATTTTTTTTGTTACATTTTTTATTTATTAATATTGATGTATAAATTATTAATATTTGTTTGTAATTATTAAATATTAAAACTATTTTTGAATTATTAAATGTTATATACTATTAAAAAATTTAAATTATTAAAATTTAACAAATATTTATTTTCAATAAAATTTAATATTAAAATATAATATTTTTAAATATATACTAAAAATATATTTTGACAATCCTATCGATTAATAAATATCATAAATTTGAACATACTATTCAAATTTAATATCATGAATGAGAAAATATAAAATACATAAAAAAATTCAATTAGAGAAATGTTACTTAAGAGGACATGAAACTATAATCAATTATTTATTAAAAGGATAAATTTTATTTTATTTTATTTTATTTATTCAAATCTTATTATTTATGTATATAGAGAAATTGTATTATTTTTAAAAATTCATAATATCCTTAAAAGCTAATAAAATCTTTTCAAATCTTATAAATTCTTAGATATAAATCTATTAAAATTTATATTTCAAAATCCTGATTAAAAAGGACTTAAAAAAATCTTTAAAATTTTTACACTTCTACAAAGTCTTTTAAAAAAATCTTAAAAGTTATTAAATTCTCACAAAGCCTTTTAAATTTTACAAGACATTTTTGTGCTAAAAAAATCTAATGAACTATCAATTTAATTAAATTTATCCCATAATAAATTAAAATTAATTTAGTGTAAGTCAAAATCACTTTTAATTGAAAAAAAAAACATATCTAAATAATAAAAGTTTCTTTTAATAAATAATTGGATAACGATATTAAAAACAGTTTTAAATAATATATAATAACTCATCCAAAAATATGATCTCAAAAAAGAAATATTAGCACACTCTCACTGACACTTATGCTTTATTGCCGATACTTTTTATTATTGATAAAAAATCGTATATTTTAGTAGATCTTACTACTAAATTAAAAAAGACTTATTAAAAAAGTAAAATTTATTATTCTCAAAAAATTTTAGTCATTTGTTGCTTATGTTCCTCTAACACACAAGTATTACAATTCATGTAACAACAATAACAAAGGTTGTAGTACTGGAGACAAAAATGGTGGTAATATTATAATATTAATAACTATGATACTAATAATGATATAGTAATGGAAGGAAAGATAACAATAGTAAATAATTGTAGAATGAGGTGATAATAATAATTTCATAAGCTTTTATAATTGAGTTTAATGTCAACTATTAGTTAATTTTGTTTATAATCTAAATACTATTATTAATAGTTCTCATATTTATTTTTAAAAGTTTTTCATTTGAAACATTACCTAATTTATAATAAATAAATATTTTAGAACATATAAACATATTTTAAATTTATAATAAATAATATATATTGAAATACAAGGTTATTTTTAATATTGGTAACTTTTTAAAAATATTGAAATTTAATATAAAACTAAAGAAAATAAATTAAAAGAGATGTGAAGTTAAAAATAAAATTCCTGAAATATTTTGATTTAATAAAAATAACTAAAAATAATATTGTTGAATAAATTTTTCATTCATTTGAATTATAATAACAACACTATAATAGAAATTGAATATAGGGTGTGTATACTATTTTGACTTTCTATTTTTGTATATTTTTTATTTGTCCTATATTTGTAATTAACTAATTTTTTTCACAAAATTTAAAATATAAAATTTTACTTATTGGTATATGACATTTGTTTTCAGTTTGCTCTCCATAACTTATTACCCTGTAATTTTAAGATGTAATATTACAATGACACATATTACATTAATTGATGACTAAAAAAGTGCTATCTATACCATTAAGAGATATATCTCTTTTAATAATTGTTTGTCTCTATTTTTATAATAATTATTTTATGACTTAAATATATTTTTGTCCCTCAAATTTAAGACAAATTTGTATTTGGTCCTTTAAATTTAAAATTGTTATTTTTAGTTTCTGTAATTTTAAAAATTTTATTTTAGTCCCTTAGGTCACCAATAACATATTTAAAAATGACTAATTAAGACAATTATGCAATATCAACCGGATTTAATGTGATATTTTCACTAATAGGAACATTAATAAGTAAATTTTATGTAATAATGTTTGATAAATTTCTTAACAAAATTTAAATATAAGGACTAAAATAAGATCTTTTGAAATTACAAGGACTAAAAGTAACAATTTTAAATTTGAGGGACCAAAAACAAATATACCTTAAATTTAAGAGATTAAAAACATATTTAAGCCTTATTTTATTTTACTCAAAAATTTAAATTATTTTTTTGTCAAATTTTATTTTTTTAATAACTGCTCACGTAATTATTTATTACTTAATTTTTTATTTGCTTTAATTTATTTAAAAATATAGATATATGAAGTGCAATTTTTTTTATAGTTTTGATATGAAAAGCAAAATTAAAAATAAATTTTGCTTGAAATGGAAAAAACTGAAATGAAAATTCCATCACTTGTTAACGGCTGAGATAAAGTTTGTTTCTCTGAAATGAAATCGCGGTCGTCCATAGAAATCACTCAAATGAGTCAAAGTTAGAAAAACCGTTCAAATTTTATCCACTCTCACCTCGTCTCACTCGCCTCACAACATGCTGTTACTCCACGCGCCACCACCACCTTTACTCAAAACATTGCTTCATTATCATCATCCTATTCATCATTCTTCTCTCGCTTTCTCCTCACTATCTCACTTCACGAAACCCTTTTCCATTGCCAACCGTTTCTCCCCGCATTCTCGCCGCAGCCCTCTCCTTCCGATGAACGGTAAAGGTCTTGCCGTCGGCGACTCCTCGCCGGAGCACTTCACCGGCGAATGGTACTCCGTGCCGGACCTCCGGTTGCGCGATCACCGGTTCAGGGTCCCTCTCGATCACTCACTGGGACTCAATTCTTCTCCAAAGATCACTGTTTTCGCTCGTGAAGTCGTAGCGGGTAAAACAATAGTCAAAGTCAACTATGTCGTTCAATCGCTTTGTTTTTTTTTTTTTTTGGTTTGATTGATTGCATTCTTTGTCTCTTCGTTGCCCTTGATTTCTTTTTTGGTTGGGGTAGAGTTATGGCGTAAAGTTTTGTTATTTGGTTTTAAATGTTTAGTTTGTGGGAGAAAAAAAAATGGAATTTTGATGGTGGATAATGAGACACTGTGTGAAGTGGAGGAAAACCCAGATGGGGTTTTTGTGATAGTGTGACTGGGTTGAGGGTTATGAATTATTGTAGTGAATATTTTGTCAATGGGGCATCTGAGGCAGAGTATAATAATGGCTTTGTGGATTACACAATGGTTTTGAGTCTTTTAAGCTCTGTTTGGATTGATGGAATAAGATGCAGTGGAATGAGTTTAAGGGGGGGCATTGTTAAGATTGAAAAATACAGAATAGAAAATGGAAGGTGATGGAGCCCTTAAGTGTTTTATTTTTAAAAAGGTGAAGGTGTGGAACCTACTTGAGCTTTTGAAATTAAAAACAAGGACTTGGGTACCGTAAAGTGTTTTTCTGTTTGTGTTTGCTTACAATTCTCAAGAATCATGATCAAACACTTTTTCTCAAGGGATGATGGGGAAATATCATCGGAGCAAAAGAGATTGAGGTCCTTTCAAGGAAGAGAGATAAGGCCTGTTGCTATGTAATTGGGATGATGTGCTTGGGAAGAGAACAGGAGAGGAAGTTGGCATGGTTTTATTTGGATAATGAAGAAAGTTTTACATGGAATTGCTGGTATTGGTAAAATATGTTACGTTATGTACTGGCATTGGCTAATTATTTGGTTCCTACAGGTACAACTGTTATGTTTCAATGAGGAATATGGTTGTCACGTAGGATGCAAATCAACATTTCAATGATTTCATGATTGAATGTTTTATGCTTTGGTAGAGACTTGGTGTATCTTTATTCTAGTGTTGACTGAAGTACTTTGGTGTTGAATATGTTGGCAACTAGAGCAGCATTTCATGCCTCATGTTCAGAAGCATAAATTTCTTACTATTCTGTTCATATTGTTTTATGCTTTAATCAGTCATTCTTCAACAAAATCAGTTTCATCCCTGATTTTTATTTTTTGATAAATTTTCATTTTATATATTGTTTAATGGATGTGTAGCGAGTCTAGTGACTAGTGAGCACTCATGCTTAGTCTTGTACATCACTCCCTTCATCACCTTGGCATATTTTCCTTCAAAACTCGGTAATTTTGTTGCAGCTGGGAAAGAAGAGCAAAGCTTGCCATACTTATTATATTTGCAAGGTGGACCTGGGTTTGAGTGCCGGCAGCCAACTGAATCTAGTGGATGGGTTCACAAAGTCTGTGAAGAATTCCGTCTCATCTTAATGGATCAGGCATGGTTTGCTAGTTATTTGTGTCATCATCTTTGTGATATTGTAACAACTTTTATGTATAATATGTTCTGTTACTTACACACTTTTCTACAGCGAGGAACAGGCTTATCAACTCCCTTGACTGTGTCATCAATGTCACAATTCAAGTCTGCTGATGAATTAGCCGACTTTTTAAAACATTTTCGAGCTGATAACATAGTAAATGATGCAGAGTTTATTCGAGTACGTGTTGTTCCAGATGCTGGTCCTTGGACAATTTTGGGACAGGTATTGAGTTATTGTTTTTGATAGGTATTCATATGCTGATTTTGATGCCTAATCAGTCTGGCTTTGCAATCTGTAACTTTTTCTTCCTTGTCTTTTTTTCCCCATCTTGAAAATCGATAATTATGAGTCCTGCTGTAGGTATCATCTAATGCTTTATCAGTTTAGGAGCTTTGGTTAGAATGCTTATGTACCTTTGAAATCAATATAGCCTTGGAATTTCATGCTTGCTTACTCTTCTGTTCTTTTTTAATTGTGGTAGAGCTATGGTGGATTTTGTGCAGTCACATATTTAAGTTTTGCACCACAAGGACTGAAGCAAGTCCTTATTACCGGAGGAATTCCTCCAATTGGAGGTGGATGTACAGCAGGTTCAGTGTACAAAGCAGGCTTTGAGCAAGCTATACATCAAAATGAGAAGTACTACAAGAGATTCCCTCAAGATATTAAAATTGTTCAAGAACTTGTTAATTATTTAGCTGAACAAGAAGCAGGAGGGGTGAGTATTTGTCTCACATTTTTCTTCTTGTTGTTAAACACGAAAATATGAGCTTTGTTCTGCCAAATCCTTATTTCCTTCTCTCTTTGTGTAGGTGGCCCTTCCATCCGGGGGCTTCCTTACCCCAAGAGGGCTGCAGACTCTTGGTCTATCTGGCTTAGGATCCCGAACTGGTTTCGAGAGCATGCACTATTTGTAATGCATTATTAGTATTAGCTTGTGTGTTTTAAAACTATCTTGAATTCAATTTATTGAGCTTTTTTGTATTAATCTTTCTAGGTTTGAGAAAGTGTGGGATCCTACTTTAGTTCCGGGAGCACCAAAGAAAATAAGTTACAACTTCCTTAGTTCTGTAAGAAAAAATGTGTTTTTCGGTGATTATGAATCCTGAATTTCATGTTTCCTTCTGAATATCAAGTGCCAATTTTCATTCTATGCAGTTTGAGAAGTGGTTAAATTTTGACACCAATCCACTCTATGCTATTATGCATGAATCCATCTATTGTCAGGTATATTTTATTTTGGTTCCTTTTCTATGCATTATCTATGGTTCTCATTCAACTCTAGTACCTCCTCTCTATAGGGTTCTGCTAGTAAATGGTCTGCTAATAGTACGAGGACCGAAGTTGAAGATAAGTTTGATGCAATTAAAGCTGCCAGAGAAGGACTCCCTGTACTTTTTACAGGAGAGGTATAGTGTAAAGAATATCATTTTTCTTTACCTTGCATAAAGCTATTAAGTTCAGAGTAACATTGTTGTGCATAAGCTAGTTTAACTTGGGATTTGTTTGGATAAGCTTCTTCAGAAGCACTTCTAGAAGAGACAAGGAAGAAGAAAAATCAAAATAAGCTTCTCCATAAGCTAAGCCTAAAACTAGCTTATGCATGTGTTAAAAATAAGATTTTAGAGAAACTATTGGAACAAAACTTCTACAAATTAGCTTATGAATAAGTTAATTTTAATTTATGGAGAAATTTGTTTCATTTTTTCTTCCTATTTTTCTCTTTTAGAAGTACTTTTGGAGAAGTTTATTCAAACAAACTCTTATAACGAAACTTATTTTATTTTCTTTAACTTATGCGAAAGCTAATTTTAACTTACAAAATAACTTATTTTTCTTTTATAAATGTTTATAAAAAAGTTTATCCAAACAATTCATAAATTGTATGCTTATCTATTTATTTTCTTCACTTTACTATTACAAGGAGAAGATACTTACAATGTTCATTTGCTTTCATAGATGATATTCCCATGGATGTTTGACGAGATTCATGCATTGAAACCATTCAAAGATGCAGCTCATATATTGGCAGAGAAGAAGGACTGGCCCCCACTATATGATGTTCAAGTTCTGAATAACAACAAGGTACTTGGCTCAGTTATCTTTTACACTAACAAAATTTCTAGCAAGAGATGAAATATGATTGATACATCCTTACAAATTGAATATGTTATAAACTTCTTTGTTGTTAACTTTGATTCGATGCTAGCAGGTACCTGTTGCTGCAGCTGTTTACTATGAAGACTTATACGTGAGTTTTAAGCTGGCAAAGGAAACAGCTTCTCAAATAGCAGGGATTAGGCTATGGATAACCAACGAGTTCATGCATTCTGGCTTGCGTGATGATGGGAGCAAAGTTATTGATCATTTGTTCGGGATGCTAAATGGAAGGAAACCTCTATTTTGATCACCATTACATCTCTTCTATGCCTTCCACCACTTTTGATGCCTTTGGTTCCTTAGCCTTTGAATCTTTGACTTGTTTTATGTTCTTCTATGTTGGTGGAATCTTCCATTATTCATATTTAAATTGCAAGGTTTTGCTTGTGTTTAATGTCAGGTTTGGCCTTGTTTATGTTTATTGGTTTGGCTTAATAAAGTTTTTGGTTCTTCAAAAATTTGTGGTTTCTTTTATCTGGTCCATCATCTTTAATTTTCTTTTTTCCCAATAAATTCTTCACAAACTTTTTTTTTTCTTTTCAAATGGTCTTTTTTTAATTTTTGTTTTTCATTTACTAACTTTCATATCCACAATACTTGCATTTTTTTGCATGGATACTTATTTTTCTTTTGCTTTTGTTGATGTTAACAATTGATTTCATGTATCACTTTTAATAGATGGTATTTATGGCATCTTATAATAGTATAAACTTGTTATGAAATTATAATAGTAGAAACTTGTTTGAAAACTCCAATTGATATTAAGTTGGAGAAATTTGTTAAATTCCAAAGTATATGTTGCTTGAAGCGGAGAAATATCACATTGAAACTATTGATAAAATTATTATCTTGGCAACGGAGATTATACAGTGGTTTTTTACTTACATATATATATATATATATATATATACACTATATGATTGTGTCACCAATTCACGTGCATTATAAATTAAAAAAGCTTACATTACCGATGTAAATCAGAAGTTTACTAGTTCAAATAATTTTATTATTTGATATATGACTAATGAGACTGCCATAAATCAATATTGATAACTTCATTGATATATAGTCAAAAGATATAACATTATTTCATATGCAAAGGGTGTATTCAGTAAAACTTGTCGATAACTAATAAGTTATTTTTTTGATATTCAGTTATTCAAAGAAAAATTTGTAGGTTCAGATTAATTTTAAATGTCTCGCAATAATTATTAGTCTACAAAAATACCTTATCCGAATTAAAATTATTTCTCCTCAAATCTTGAATGACTAGCTGGTATAGTTAAGAGGTGAGTATGCATGTCTCACTAGGTCTTCTTTATTTATTTTTAAAGATGCAATTTTTTTAACTCTTTTATATATATATATATA